CCTGCACAGACGGTCCCTTAGTAAAACACAACAATATTCCCCGTGCAAGAAGTGAAGCTCACCCCCCTCTGACCACTGACGGCCATCCCAGGTTGAATCAGGGGCTAGGATTAGCCTGCCAGTCACTCAGTTTACTGCTAAGAGGGTGGACCACAGGCCATGTGCTTTTGGATTGGAGGGCAAAGGGTGGGCGCCTGCAGCCCGCGGCATGGACGGTCCTGTCTGGGTCCTGGGAGCCTTCCTCAGCGGGGGAGCATTAGGAGGGGCTCTGAGAGCAGGGGCTCGGGGAGGGCAAGCATGCAGGAGTCAGAGAAGGGGACCTTCCTGACCTGGGGCCCTGCCCACGGTGGCCTCCTCCTCCGTCACAGGGGTGCCGAGCTCCCTGGACCCAAGGATCCTCTGCACAAGTGTCTGGGAGCAGAAAACCTCCCCTCCTGTGCTTCTTCCGTCTCTCAGCACCTCATTCCCACCTTGCGTCCACACTCACTCAACACCCTCAAGGATGGCGTCAACTCGGGCGGCCTGGGACCTCTCTGTGTGGTTTTTATTGCCAGGGGTGAAGAGGAGGGGGAGTGGCAGACAGACGGTCAGGCACCCTGAACTCCGGAGAATCCCTGGGCACCTTACAGTGCAAGGGATGTCCTCGCAAGAGGAGGCGAGGGTCCCCCTGGTCTGGGGCTTATTAAGGTTCCCCCCTCAGACCATTTGGGCTTCCCTGGTGGATCGATGGTAACGAATAAGCCTGCAGTGAAGGAGACTCAGAGATGTGGGTTCCATCCCTGGGTTGGGAAGGTCCCCCTGGAGGAGGAAATGGCAATCCAGTCCTGTAATCTTGCCTGGGAAGTCCTTCGAGCATTCATACCCCTGGTTTTCCTCTTCTGTGAGAATGGTCCTGGAAGATGCTGGTGGTCTTTGCATATCTTCAGAACTTTCCAGAAACTGTCTCCTGAACTCCCAAAGAGTTCTCTGTGGGGTATTTTTGTTGAATGAATGCCTCTTAAATGAGTAGATTTTTACCCTATCAGCCAGTTAACTCCTGGCCCACACATGCATGGAAGATGAAACTTTCTACCCAGACTGTTGTATGGACCTATATTTATCAATTGGGATTTTACAAAGGTATTTCTAGTAGGTAGGTTTTATCTTTAATAATATAAGTGATTGAGGGCTGAGAGGGACTCACGGGAAATGGAATACTCTTTGGTCTAAATTTCAAACATTTTGGAAAGAGCCCAACATAAATATGCTATTTAGTATTTTCCTTCTTCCGTTGCTCACAAACCATTTTCTTTGAGGGTTTTACTAGCAAATCGTCTTTGGATTTGCTCAGATCTGAGGAATGTATTACCATCCCTAAGCTATTATCTCATGTCCTTTCTGGTTGTTATTGTCAGTTGTTGTTTGGAAGAATATGTGAAGTAAATTTATAACTAAGTTTAAAATATGTATTCATGTAGATCTACTTCTTAGGAAGAAAGATGCTACTGTAACCATAACTTAACATGATTAAGTTTATAATTTATTAATAACCACTATCAGTTGTAAAAGCATCCGTTTTAAAATGTACAGCTATGATAAAAATCAGACTCTAATAATTCTTATCAAAGATTTTTATTTTTCTCTAAGCCTATTCCTACTCAGTTGAAAACTATATTATTAATACTTAATATTTATGTAATAATAGTGCCCAAATCTGCAGTTAAATATTTGGTTAATGAGCCATGAATGAAAATAACAGTGGAATTCAACCAGGTGGATTTCATATATGTTCAGCTGGAGACACATCCCCTTCAGAACCCATCAGAAAAGGTGGCACAGCTTGGAGTTATCTGCTCTTGCAAAACGAGAGGGGATGAAATCCTTCCATTATTTAGGAATTAGGGGTTAAGATCACAGTCTGTAGCTTCCCATCCTCTAACTTTTGATTACCTTAAGAAAGCCTTCGTGCCACTAGGAGGATCAGGCACTCAGAGCAGCTGGGCTGGAGTTTTCTTGAAGGAGACACACCGCTTCATTGCAAATATGAATCATAAAGTGAGTCATAATAGGCAGCTGTCATCTGGCACACACACACACACACAAAGACTGTTAGAAAATGAAATACATTTAAAAATAGACGTGTGTGAGGAAAGGGGTTGGAGGATATTAATTTCGAAGGGGCCCTGCCTGCATAACAGAACTAAGCCTTTGCTTGGCTAACAGGAGCCTCTGCCCCCCCCCTCGGCCTTCCGGAGATGATCGCAGTGTGTGCTCTGAGCGCTACAGAAACCATTACACACGCAAAGAGTTAAAACGCAAACCTTCCTACATGGCTGCTTTATGCTGTGATGTCCTTATAACACAAGTTCTTATCAGAGGTCTGCACGGCACTTGGCAAACAAGACGTTCTACCTTTTAAACAAATAATTCATTGGGTAATTAAATTCAAGTGAGATTACTCTAATTAAATACACACTGCTGTTGAATCATAATTTCTATGTGGTCTAGTTAAAGATGAACAATCTCTTATTCCCGATCCAAAAAATATATATATATATCTTGGAAAGAATTCCCTGGTGGCTGGGAAGCATAATTCACACTCATTGCACAGAGGTCATTTCAAGAAGAGAAACGAAGAGAAACGAGCAGGAGCTGGGGGTGGGGGTGGGGCTTCTCCCCTCTGGGGATTCCCAAAGTCCTGGCTGTTGGCCTCCGGTTCTATGAAAGGGCTGCGGAACCCCGCGGGAAGTGGCAATGACCTTTCTCCAGCGCTGGGTCCGTGCACGCGCGCCCACAGCCGGGCATCCGGGGCGCCAGCCTGACGCAGGGTCCCCGGCGCCCACCAGGCCCCACGGCCAGGGCGCGCGGGAGGCCGGCGCTGGCCCAAGGAGCCCAGAATTCCAGCAAAAGGAAAAGTCACTTTATCCCCCACACCGAGCTGCACCCGACTCTCCCTCTAATAGCATCAGGAGCCGCCGCCATTGAGGCGCTCCGGGGGCTCAGGAGTCCCCGAAGGCTTTGATCTGCGCCTCTTGGCTGCCGAGAGCTGACAGTCCGCCCAGCTTTCATTTGTCAGACACGCGCTTCCCCGTGTTCCTGAGCAGGCAGCTACACCTGTACTGCGAGAATTTACATCGCCATGCTCCGGGATGGCATTGATTTGGGACGGGTGAACTACAAACACAAACTAATTAAAAACTGCATAATGGCGCCCTACAGGAACATGGGAGAAAAACAAATAAATACAAGTGCAGCTGGCGCGGGCGATCACACCTCTGCCCCCAAGCAACCGTCTGGTGGCATCAAATTATAAACCCTGCAAACCCTCACACCGGTGCGGTGGATGGGGTTGGAGGCATAATGGAAATGATCTGGTTAATTAAGGGGAGGTTTATAAAATATTGACATGTGCGCACACGCATATAATTCGCTTCCTCCGACACTCCAGGCCGGGCCCCTGTGGTCCGTGTCTCCACCCGGGGAAACGGAGGCCGGCTCAGGAGGCTCGCGGCGCCCGGGGCGCACGTTCCCCTCAATCCAGACACGTGCCCTACGTTCGTGCGGGGCTTGGCCCGGAGCATCTGGCCGTCCCACGGCCCTTGCTGCAAGGCGATTTTTCTCCCCGGGTTTTTCTGGAATCTTCTCCGCCGGCCCCACTGGGCTTGTCGTGCCGAGGCAGGCGCGCACGTCTCGCCGCGGGAGCTCCGCCGTCCCGCGCGCTCAGGACGTTTGCTGGGTGCTCCTCTAGGCCGGGAGGCACCAGGGCTAACCTTCGGTCGGGCTCCGCGTGGGTCTGGGCTTGGAGTCGCCGGAGCGCGCAGGCCCGGCCCCGAGGGGTCCAGGTCGAGGGGACAGCGGAATCACCGTAGCCCGACCAACCGGGCTGGCTCCGGTTTGGAACCCTTGGGCTCCAGGATGAGAGCTGGACGCTCCTGAGAGGGTCTCGGCTGCCCGGGAACTGTGACACTCGCCTCGCTGTCGCTGAGCGGGGGTGGCTTTCCGCCTGGGTCCTGCTGGAGAAAGGTCCTAAGTGTTGACCAGGGTTTCATCCATCAGGGTCCAAGCTTTGGGGCAGGGTGCCCGCCTCCGATCCGAGCTGCGGCCCCGCGAGGCAGCCCTGGTGTCTGCAAATCAATACGGGCCATTTGGAAAGCCAGGCGGATGAGGCCGAAGCGCCGCCCGCTGTGCCCTAGTCGGTCTAAGTGGCTCCAGCCTTGGCGACAAAAGCATGTCCGTGAGGGCTCGGGGATTGGACTGGGTCCCTGGTAGCTTCCTCCTGTGTCTCAGAGGCCTGGATCCGCAAGGCTGGAGGTTTATTTCCAAAGGAATACAATTGTAAATGAGGATGCCGTTTGGTTGACTTAATCTCATTTTTATGTAAACAGAGGGTGCGGTGGGCCAGGGTAGGGAAGGGAACTGTAGGAACTTTTATGGGGGTCTGGGGAAAGAAGAGCCCAGGATATGCTTCAGGTGGGTGATAGCAATTCCCTCCCGTTAGAAAACCCGCTCCTACCCTCCCCCCCCCAGTGAAACGAAGCAAATGAACTTTACACCTAGTTGGTTCAAACGCGCATTGTTCACCCATCACACAGGCCCGCCCCCTCCCGGTAGTCGGCCTGGGAACCTTTCTCCCCGCCCACCAGAGTCACCTCCCTCCCGAGCCGCGTCTGCACTCGCGGGCCCTGCACACGCGTGGATGCCTCCCGAGGCTCACGTCTTAGCCGAGAGGGGCGCCGAGTCCGGGCTTTCCAGCCAAAGGGACCTCTGCGGGGTGATGGAGGCTAACCGCCCCAGGTCCCTGAGGGAGTGGGGGTCCCTACTGAGTGCAGGGCTCCCGGACCCAGCCTGCCAGAGCTCCGATTCGACCTCGCAGCGACCCCTAGGCCCGGCTTTGCAGGGCTCCCAGGCTCTGCCTCTGGCTCAGGGCAGACCCGTCGCCGACCGGCTGGGGGAAGGCCCAGTCCCATGGGGCTCCTGCACCAGGCATGCGGCCTGCCCGAGCCACCCCAGGGGAGGCAGCGATGGTGGCTGAAGTTCTGCGAAGCGGGGCTCTCCCCGTTTTCGGGCACAGAGCAGCCGGGGTGGGAGCTGTGGTTTCCAAGGGCGGGACAGCTGGAGCCCCACTGCCCACACCCCCCAAATCCAGCCTCTGGTGCGGGACCAGGGTCGTCCTGTGGATGGCCTGGATGTTGGAAGAGCTGAGCTGCTGAGCTGGGCTGGCCTCTTGGGGCCATTAGCACTTAGTCAAGTCAGCCCCAAGGAGGTTTTGGGCAGAGGGCCACTCTCCTGCCTCATGCACCCTGGGCCTTCCTGGGCTCTATGTCACCACTTGACGTTAAAAGTGAGTAGAGGGCCAGTGGCAAGACGCTGAGCCAGGAAGTTCTAGATCTTTCTCTGCTCCCCCCTTGATGATCGGACAGATTTCTTAATTCTTTTTTTTTGTGTACATTGCTTCCAAGTTTTCCACGTGCAGGTTTTGGGGCTCCCCGGTACCGAGGAGAAAGAAGGGAAGGAGTGGTTGCCAGACTCCATCAGGATCCTGTGCCTGCCCCTTGGGGAAGCCTATAGGCACCCTCAGGCACCTTGTCAGGGCTCCCTGGGGGCAAGTCCACAGGCCTTCCTAGTACCAGTTCCCCCGGAACTACCTTATTCCCAGGCACCGTTTCTGGTGGGCCCTTCCCACTCACCCCCCAGGTGCGTTCAGGAACCTAAATCGCTCCAGGACCAGAGAGGTGATGCAGATACAGCCAGAGCGCGGAGAGTGGCGTTGCTGGGCCACTCGGGGGTCAGGACAAGGCTGTCCTGGCTTCCTCCACCTTCCCCAGGCTGGGATGGCTGTGGTGTGATGGGCTCACAGGGCTGCAGGTAGGGCTGAGAAGAAGGTGATTCATCCTGTGGCTCAATCTTGACACCTGGGGGGTTTCTCTGGGCTTACATTCCATCTGGTTCTTCAGGTCTCACAAGAGGCCTTATCTTACCTGTTTACCTGTCACCCTGAAACGTGACCCTGGAGTTTGCTAAAGAGGACAGCAGCCAAGGCCCACTGGTTTGTTCTGGGTGTTGGCAAGAGGGGGTTGGGGAATGTGGGCTGGGAGGCTGGGGGACAGGAGGAAGCTGTGGTCAGGGGCTTCCCAGAGCAGGAGCGCCACTTGCCCGCTGTCCTCCCACCCTCAGAAGCTGTCACCGCAGGAAAGGAGTCCTAGCAGTTGCTGTGGGTAAGAGGGGCTGGTTAGTGGGGTGAAGTTGGGGGTGGAGAAAAGGGGAGGAGATGAGAGCATGACCAGGAAGAAAATCTGACTCTGAACACAGAAAATAAGGGCTGGTTACACAGCTGGTAATTAGTAATTACTATTATGGGCGTTATTGCGGCTAATTATAGGTGCTGGCTCTGTCCTCCGGTCCCCAGCTGGGGAAACCGAATCTCTCCTGATGCTTCCAAAGTCCCTGGGCCTGGAAGGTTCCTGGCAGCTGGAAGAGGGGGTTAGAGGCTGGAGGTGGATGCTTAGGTGTCCAGGGTAAGGACGCGCAGCACGCTGGGGACGTGGCCTCAGTTCCGTGGTCTCCAACGGGCCCAAAGCGAGCTGGACACCAGGTCCGTGGATGCCACCCCTGCACGGCTCCGCGTGCCGGAATGCCGCTGCAAGCAGTACTCGCCGGGCTCTGGCCGCAGCTTAGGAGAGGAAGCCCAGGCGGGTCCCCGGGGTGGCGCGCAGCCCACCCAGCTTCCAGGGCCAACCCACAAGGGCCGCGCAGGAGCGGCCTGCCCGAGCATGGTCCAAGGCGCAGGCAGGGAGGCCAGGAGGACCGAGCATTCTGGGCGTCTGCGCCCCAGCCCCACCAGACCCCAGGCACCCCAGATCCGCCCTCCCGAGCGCACGCGGTGCCCTGCCTTGTCGCTCTCGGCTCTGCGGGCGGAGGACAGAAAGGGAGAGGGCGGCGGGAGCCTAACGCCCCGTCCCCAGGCTCCTCGCGGCGCCGCCTCGGGCCGGCGCGCTGCGCACAAGCTGACTTCCAGCGTCTGCTCGCCTAGTGGACAAACGAGGGGTGTCCAGGCCACGCTGGCCCCTCCTGTCGCCATGGCGGGGGCGGCGTGTGTCTCTCCCGCCGCGGTGGCGCTTTCTCCGCAAAGAAAAGGTACCTTCCCTCCTCCCCCAAAGAACAGGCCATTAGCTTCCTCCAACCTTCCCAGCCGGTGGCCTTTCTTAAAGTTCACACGGCTGGAAAAGCTCGCGGTGCTCGGCGGCTGCCCGCCTTTCCGAGTGCAGCGAGCCAGCCCCTGCCGGAGGGATGCCCCGTTAATCCCTGGTGGGGGGGCCAGGGGGACACCCTGCCTGCCTCGGGGTGCCACGCCGCGCTGGTTTAAGGGCACTTCTGCCAAGCGGTCCCGGGGGGACGGCCGAGGAGGAGCCCGGAGCTCGGAGGAGAGGGCGCTCCGCGCCGGCTGGCACCGCGCCTCCGCCCG